GTTCTTGAATGTACAGAGTCTGTCAAAAAGTGTATGCTCACTTCAGGAAAAGAAAACCTTGTATAAATATTTTAATATTGAATTTATTGAGACATCATGAGGTAAATACGAGTTACTTTTGGTCTCTCCAATGACAAGAGGCCCTCAGAGTGGTGCCAATACCTTCCAGACATTTATTAGTCTGGCGATCTGCTGCTTGGGTAACCTTGGTTATTGAGATTGTTACACACACATTTTCAATTTCTTCTCTAAAGGATGACAGTATAGTGGGTTTTGTCTGGTGTATGACATCCTCTGGGGTCTCCCACATGAGGGTAACACCATCTGTTGGAAAAAAAATCATACTATTTTTCTTTTTCTGAAACATGTATACATTCTTGGCAGACTCTGTATATTTCATTGCTGATATACTCAGCAATACATCTATGATTTTTAACAGAGTTTTTAGCTCTGCATTTTATTTAGGTAGCAGATACTAAAGCACATAGGTACAAGTCTGAGTAATACGAGTTCTTCAATCTTTTTGTTCAACTTCCTATAAATATACTCACCAAAATCCACTGAAGAATAACTCTTGGCACTGGAAAACAAAGCAAAAAGAAAAGAAAGGAAAATGTCCCTCTTTTTTTCTGAAGCTATATTGATTTCTATGTAGTTGAGGTCTTAGACCTTATCAATCCTGATATGCACAGAGGAGTGATATGAATGAGAACAGAAACACTGATCTGGGTGGAGATTCCTTGACTCAGCTCTCAGCCTTCTATACTTAAAATGTCTGCATCTGCAAGAACAGTACTGGACCCAGAGTTAAACCTGAGCTGTTGTTTTCCTTTGTCTACTTCCAGTTCTGGGAGGACAAGATTGTGTGTGAGTGAGAGAGAAGTTTAAAAACGGAAGAAGGAAACAAGAGAAAGCAAAGTCTTAATGTTGGTAATAGAAGAAAATGTGGATGATAAAGCCAGCCCCCAAAGGCTTTGCTAAAATGTGGAAGAGGTGGTGGGGTGAGACAGATGAGCTATTAAGCTTTGAGGCTGTGACATTTGGAAGCCAGAGTTAGGTTTTATTTGCAACTGTGAATAAACAGCTTGGGAATTATCTAGGATGCTCTTTTGTGCTGCGGGTTTCATTCTTCTTGTCTCAGGGCACTGCAAAGCAACTGTTGGGTAAATTGACCAGCTCTGAAGATTATCCTGGAATGTATCATCTTGAAAATATCATGAGTTCTTACACTCGATTCCAGTGCAACTGGAATTTAAGTTCATCAATAAACCCATCTAAAGGCCCACCATGTTGCCAGGATTGTTATGGGACTGCCCTTCTGTTTTGTAATGTTTGTTCATCTCATAGAATTCTATCATCGCATGTATTTCCCTCACTGCACAGCGTCTTAGAGCTAGGAGGGATGACAGCAACGTGAAAGTAAAAGGCCAGACAAATGAGAACAGGCAAAGGCTATTATTCAGAGCTTGCCTTTGGTGGAGACTCACAGGCAAGCAGAGGATAGAAGACCAAAGTGGAAAAAGAAGTTACATTAAATTTGACCTAAAGCTACTGCTTCCATATAATCTGGTTTAGTATGTAAACAAACTTTAACCTAATTTGAGTATATTCTCATAACAAGTAGCAGTCTTTAGGCCAATCATTATGTGGCATGATCAAAAAAAGGAGTCATTAGACCTTAAAAAATTAAACTTAAAAAATTAGAACAGTAAAAATTACATTGCCATTCATCCTCCTCAGACTGCTCTTGCTTTGAACACATGTATCTCCCCGTTCTTGCCGTTTTCTGAAGGAGTCCTGGAAGTCCCCTTTCATGCCTTCAGTTACGTTTGTTGAAGCCTTGATGTCCTCAGTTGATGGTAAATATTTTCCTTTCTGGGCCATTTGGACTTGGGGGAAGCATCATAAATTGCATGGGGGAAGCATCACAAATTGCATCAGGTGAGTAAGGAGGGCGAGGACGTGTTGTCATATTGTTGAGCTTACCTTTCCACTGGTTGGCACTGGGCAGGAGTATTCACTGGATTCTTCATCAGACTGGAATCAGTAGCTAAAGATAGTGGTCTGACTTGCTATAAGTCTGACTGATATTTAGCAGACTGGCTTTTTGGACTGGTTATTATAGATAATGGTTTAGAGGGGTCAGGGATATAGCTCACTGGCACAGCACCTGCCTGACAAGCATGAGGTCCTGAGTTCAATTCCTGGTATCCCCCCAAAAGATAATGGGTTAGAGTGCTACTGTTATATGTGCTTTTTGAATTTTCCCTTTGCATATATAGGTTCTTATATTATTATTGTGTCTAAATGAAGAAATATTAAATTAATTCATGAAGGGTAAAGGGCTTATTTATTTGAATGAATATTACTTTGCTTGTTTGGCGCTTTATAGTTTCTAAAATATTTTAAAATGTAGAATGTCATTAAATTCCTCAAATAAAAACAAGAAACTTAAGCAGGGTCAGTGTTATCTCTATTTTGTAATTAAGAAAAAATGAGGTTCCAGAGGAGAAACAAAGCCTGGATCACCAGGCAGGTTGACAAAGGAAGAGGCCCCTCAGACTGCTGACCAAGGCGACTCAACCTATCACAGCCTACTCTTTGTCCTGCAGATCCAGATAATGGGACGAAAGTATGGCATGTGCGTTACCACCCTCTTGAAAGCTGATGAGCATTTGAACCTAAATGTAAAAGAAACAGACAAAATTGCAGATTCTTTGAATCATTTCTTTCAATATTTCAGTCTTTCTCAAGGACTTCATACTTGAATTAAACTTCTAACTTTGTGAGTTTTAAACCTTACAATTACTAGACAACCAGAGTTTTCCAAATATCAGCAACTCAGTGTCACTGCTTCAGGTACTATCACTTGATCCTTCGATCCTTTAGAAACATTGTATTTTTTACACGTATCGGAAGGCTGTCTCAGGAGTTAAGGAAGCTAATAAAAAATTAATTAATTTAGTGGAGGAACTATTAATATACCAGGTACTGAGAAGAGGACATTTTTATAAATGCAAAGAAAAATGAAAAGCCCATCACCTGCCCTTAAGTAACTCAGGGATTTGGGGAGACAGCACATACCCAGAGGGATAATAGAAGACAAGGTCAGGGCAGAGACAGTGCCAGGAGTGAGGAGGCTTTAGGGTGCATGTAAATGGGCATAACCAGTGTGGAGTGGAAGTAGCTGAAGAAAGATGAGATTGAAGGAGAGTTAGAGCAGGGAGGGGGTGGAGCATGGAAACAGAAGCTCAGTTTTTCATGTTCTTCCTTAAATACAGAGATCAATAGAAACTAACAAGGGTAGAGTAAAATGGAAGAGTGATACACTGGTAAATCTGGGGGCCATAGTAAGTCAGGAGCTTAGACATGGTGCTGAGGTAGCATAGAGTCTTTTTTTAAAGGACTTTCATCAGGAGTGCATTATGGACAGATTTGCGTTTTACATAGCTGAACTTGGCAGTATAAGGCGCTTGCATCAGGGGACTGAATGAGCCGGAGACACACAGCAGTAATTCCAGAGAGATGATTAGAGTTTCAAGCAGAACAGTTTAGGCAGACATGATACAAAGTTAAAGAGAGGGGACAGCACGATGTTTACAAATAAATCCACAGAGTCTTCTGATTGATATATTGGGAGAGACAAGCTTCTAACTTGGTCCATTGGATGGACAGGAAGAATGGTCAGTTTAGAGAGGCATAAATGTCCGTTCAGTATCAGCGTTAAATTTCCAATATTCAGGCGGCCTGCAGATGAACTCACTTAGCAAACAACTGGATAAATAAATCTACAGCTAAAGTAATGGCCCAAACTTCTGATAGATTACTTAGACATCATTAATAAGCAGATCATTGTTAGCTGACTCCAGAAGGATAAAATCACAGGAAGAGTACATAGAAAGCAAGGGCGGTGGCTAAAGTAAAACCACAGACACGACCTGGAGAAAGAGAAGGCACAATGACCCAGTAGTGGTGTTAGACATAGAAGCAAACACAGAAGATGAACTATCAGTGAAACCAAAACATTGAACATATAAATAATAAATAACAGAACTGCCACTGGCTGAAAATGTCTTTCACTTTGCCAGTTAGAAGGCATGGTGTTGAAAACAGTATGCAGTATCAGAACCATCGTTAGACTCCTACCATCTTGTATGGTGAAGCTCTGCATCAGTTCCAGTGTTTTATTTATTTATTTATTTTTTACTTGTTACTGTCTTGGATTATTTGATTAATCTCACATTCTTACGTCTCGTGGACTGAGCAACTTTGTTGAGGATAATAGTATGTAATATAGCAACCACTGTAAATTTCTATCATTTTATTTTGAGGTCATGTATTATTTTTGTTGCTTTGGTGCCTTGTTTTGATTTTGTCTTCATTGTTGTTTTGTCAGTTTTCTAATTTTTAAAATAAAAAGTTCCTAAAAATAAGAAAAATAAAAGGCATGATGTGATCTTAGCAATAACACTTTTGGTAGAATGGTTGGACCGACTCATGTAACAGTAGGTCATAAAGTGAGTGGAAGATGTAAACAGAGTGGGTGTAAGAATTTACAAATTCTCTTTAAGAATTTCCCTTAAAGATGCACACAAAGGAAGAATTACTAAAGTAAGAAGATTTGGGGGCTGGGGATTTAGTTCAGTGGCACAGCGCCTGCCCAGCAAGCACAAGGTTGTGAGTTCGATCCCTGGTACCGGAAAAAAAAAACAAAAAACAAAAAAAAAAAAGAAGATTTGATATGCAATGAAGGACTCTTTTTCTCCAAAGGAAAATATATATTCTTCCTAGTGATATTAACCTATACCCCTCAGGGAAAAGTAAATGTTTGCACAGAATCTATATTTCTGTTGTATTTAAGTGTTTCATCTCCAGTGCAAATCTAAGTTTCCAACAATATGTTGAAAACATTTCAGAAAATCACTCGCTAATTTTTCAAAACAGAATTATGGGAAGGATTTGACTTCTGTTTAACAGAGGGTAATTTGCTTAATACACAGAGTCCACAGAGGAGCTGAAAGTCCGAAGCCACAGCACGGAGCCATTACCAAAGTTGGACAGTAAAGAACGAGGTCACCACGGATCAGCTTCCTCGAGAGAGCCTGTGAAAGCTCAGGAATGGGATGGAACCCCAGGCCCACCTGTGGTCACCAGTAGGATGGGAAGATGCTCTGTGAGCCCCACCTTGTTGGCAGGAAACCACAGTTCAGGTAAGCAGGATTCCACCTTCCACGTGGGGATTCTTCTGAATTCTGAGAACTGCCTCCAGGCAATTGTCACATAGAGAAACATCACCACAATACATCTGTCTCCACTTCAAAGACACAGCATAAGGGCTGGGGATATAGCTCAGCGGTACAAGGTCAAGGTCCTGAGTTTGATTCCGGTACCAAAAAAAAAAAAAAAAAATGGGGGGCTGGGGATTTAACTCAATGGTGCAGAGCCTGCCTAGCAAGGGCAGGTCGTGAGTTTGATTCCCCATACCAGAAACACCGCCCTCCCCCCAAAAAAAAAGACACAGCATAAATAAAACAACTAATAATATAAAGCAATGCAATAATCTATTTTAACACTCCAGGGTACTACTATTCTGAGATGATAGGTAAGTATAAGGTGCTTTCTGGAGCCGTGCACCACAGTGGGCTGACAATTTGAAAAATTTTGTACTAGATTTTCACGAAAACATCTAGTCTTCAAGGAACACCATTCAGGTAATGAAATTCACTTTAATTTTTCAATGTATCCTTTGTTTCAAAAATGACTTTAGACAGCTCGCAAAATTTGAACAAAAGTAAAATTAGGCACATAATTGTAATGAAGATGATCTGAAGGAGGTGGAGATAGGAGAAATTTGAGGCATCCTCAAGTGGTAAGCTACAAACATTAACCTAGCACTGAGTAGAGTACTAAGTTTCCAAATCTAAGTCAAAAGAGATAGAAAAATTTAATCTAACACACCTTTAAATTTCACATCTTGAAATTAAAATATGCAATGCAATGTTATGCACATCAGTTTTTAAAAGTGGCATATGTTTACTTTGAACAGATTAATTTACATGCTGCACTCATGGAGAGCTGTCAATTGAAATAACAAATAATCAGGGAACCTCCTGCAGTTTTCAGATTTTTATTCCTTAAGAATGTTAAGGCTCTGAAGAAAAGACCAAGCCTTTAATGTTCATTTCAGCTTTGAAACTCATTTTCAAAAACAATTTGCATGAATTTAGCCTGTGGTAACTCTGACACTCATGCACAAGTGGAAATTTGGACAAGATGAATGATCTTCAGGGAGGAGAATTCCTGGAATTCCCCAGCAATAGCTTCCTCAGACTGTCTCTGAGACCTAAAACTTTGATGGTGGCTACAGCATATATCATGTGGAGAATCAACTTTATAGCATACGCTTATATTTGGCAGAAGAAATATTATGTGTGCTTAGCAGTAATTTAATTATATTTTTATAGTAAGACATAAATTACTATCAGTGCAGGAAAGGAAGATATTTTCCATTTTGTTAGAAGGAAAAAGAAATTTAAGAAAAAACAGATTTTTTGTGCAGCAAAAATGTTACTCCCCCCAAAAATGGTTAATGTCACTTATCAGTTGTGGCTTATGATTAGCTTGGGGGATAATTAATAATTTAAAGATGGATCTAAGTGTGTGCTAGCCCTATCAAATGTACATGAATAATAGAATGTCATAACAGATATATTTTATAAAAACCAGAAATATTGCCTGCATGTCTATGATGTAATAACTACTGTTCTAGGGTCTAGAAGTACAAAATTTGTTTTTTGTGCTCAATGTATGGTGCAAGGAAGACAGACAGATAAATGTAACCCAATATGTTCTTTATTGAGAAATCTCCAGAGAAACAGAACTAATAGGATATATGTAGACATACAGAATGAGATATCTTATGAGGGATTGTCTGAAACAATTATGGAGGCTTAGAAGTCCCTTGATCTGTTGACTACAAACTGCAGTCCCAGAAAAGCCAATAGTATAGTGTAAAAGCTGAAAAAGCCTAAGTATCAGGGGAGCCCATGGTATAAGTCTGAGTCGGAGTTCAAAAGTTCAACTGGATACCAGTGTCCAAGAGCAGAAGATAGATGGACAGCTCACGAGGAGAAGTGCATTTGTCCTTTTTCCTTTGTATGTTCTTCAGACCCTCAGTGGATTAGATGATGCTCACTCATGTTGGTGAGGTTGATTTCTTCATGATCTACAGATTCACATGCATATCTTTGCAAGAAAGAGCAGCACAAGCACACTTAGAAATAATAACCTACCAGCTAACTGTGCATGCCTTATCCCAGTCAGATTCACACGTAAGACTGCGTGAATTCTACAGAATATTATGTGATGTAGAAGAGAATTAGCTCATTCTTCCAAGGAGATTCTGACTTTGGCAAGAATAATCAAAGGCTTTTGGTGGATAAAATAAAATTTTTTGGAGGAGGTAACATTTGGGTGAGGATTTGATCCATAAAGAGCTGCTCACCAGAATGATGAAGAGAAAAAGTCTGTTTTTTGGATGAAAACCTACAAGTCTGAGATCGATAAAAGTATGTTTAGCATGAAGAATAAGGTAGGATTGAAGAAAGTGCAAATGTAGGTGCTCACCAGATAGCAAGAAACATGGTGCCTTGTGTATAAATTAGAAATGCTTTCAGAGAAAGTACAAATTAAGTGTCTTATATAAAAATGACCTTTCTTCTCTCCCTTTGCATCAAGTCTGAATGTGGTCAGCTGCTCATGGATGTCATCAAAGACTTGGAAATTCCCTGTCCTTCTAGGTCTCCTGCTCTGCCACACTTAAGATTTATTTTATTATCATGAGTGTATGATTACAGTTTTGGGCATGGTGCTCCAGAAGACTCTTTCCTTTTCACTGGTGCAAACTGGGAAACATAGGCCCTGTCTAAATCACTGGTTCAATGAAGAGACATGAAATTTCCATTGATTTATCAAGAACTTTTCTTTTTGCCAAATCAAAGAGATTCAGCCTTCTATCTAGAAATGGAAGCAATTTATTTGTATGCATAAAGGGGCAAAGATACTGTGTAAGCGTGGATGGGTTCGTGGATATTGGTGGTCATTTTCTTTAAAGATAGGGATAATGTAACTTGGTGTATGACATGGAAAATACAATCATGACTCCATGATTTTAAGCTCAGGGAACGGGGACATGATTCACTGAGATAGATATTCCATGCGATAGGAACAAGATTTAGGAGGAAATGTCAAAGACAAGATAATAACATATAGTTGGAATTAAAAGTCTGAAGCTAGTGAGATTTAGCTGGACTCAAGACTGGAACTAGAGACCTTTGGGGTGATTAGAAACAGACTGGATGAATCTAAAAGAGAACAAAAAATACAATGAGAAAGAAACTGAGAGGGGACACTGGACATTCGAATATTTCAAGATGTGAGTACAGACAAAGGGAGGAAAACTGGAGTGATGCACAAAAATTATATATTTAGAATGTCCACAAATAAAATATTACTGAACACTTAGTAAGTTGCATGAAAATTGGTAAACATACACCTTTACAGTGTCTTTAACACTTTGACATAAATCTCTAAGAAATTTAGAGCTTGAACAGAATTTATACCACAATTTCAGTTTCTGTTGCCTCAAACCCACGAAGCATGCATTTTGGTTTGCAGCATCTAAAATCTGCTCTATGGAACCTTTACCTCTGTTTATAGAGCAGTAAATTGTCCACTGACCGGAAGAAATGACATAAATATCTCTAGTCCTCCCCTGTCTCCATGTTAGATTCAAGAGAGTTAGATGGAGGTGGAAGAAGAAGAAAATATTAACTTTGATTATGAAAGGCTATGCATGTAGCTCAGTGGCAATGCACCTGTCTATCATATTCAAGGCCCTGGGTTTGATCTCCCTGCACTTACGGGGAAAAAAAAAGAAAATTCACTACAAAATTTTTGTGCTCATATTAAAAAATGCAAAATGTATAAGCACAGGTAAAGTCATATATTTAATGTTAGCTCAAGTTAGTTTCTTATGTTAAAGTGAAATCCAAACAAGCATTGCTTGGACTTGGATCTTTTCTACCACTTTTGAGGTTAAAAAAGGGAAAAGGAAGAATTGTTGTGTGTTAGCTTTTACTTTTATGAAGAGAAAGAACTTAAAGTTTGCCAGTTACATATTCAAAAAGGCCACCTTTCCACCCGAGAAAACATATAAAATAGAGAATCTGAGTTTTGCTCACCTTTGGTGTTTTAAACAAGCCATGCAATAATCACATTCAGTCACAAGATGTTCTTTGTCCAGAATAGGTAAGAAGCTATAGGAAGGGGTTTGGACTGGCTGATGTGGTGCAGGGGAGGATGAATCAGTATAAACTGCTTCTCCTTCTTCCTGCTCTTCTATTGTCATCTCTTTGCTAACCCTTCACCACAGACACTAGAACAGAAGTCTATAACCCATTTCCCTAAACTACATAGGCACTCAGTGCCATACCTGACGTTGCGTGGAGAGTAAAGGAAGTTTCTCACTCTAACTTCCCACCTCGCTCTGTCTCTCTCTCTGCCTCTCTTTCTCTCTCTCCTCCACCCCCACCCACAAGCTTCTATCAGTCACAGACTATTGCTCTACCAAAAGTAGTTTAGCCACTTGAAATGGTTGTTCCTAACAGCTCTTTTGAGGAATGGAGGAATTGCTGAAGGAGAGCAAACATGTCAGGAGATCTCAGTTCTAATTAACATTGCCACTCACTGCTGCAGTACTTTATTAAAGTTACTGTTGTTTAGTAATGCCGAGATTCTCCAGGGGGTGATTCTTGCAGGCAGTGGAGAACTGGGACCCAAATGCTCATGAAAATAATAGCGGAAAGTGGAGAAATTATACAAGTAAATATCGTATTAACAAAAATTCAGATTTCAATCACTGAATCAATGAACAATTAGTTTCCAAGCAGCTTGTATTTGACTTTGTTATGGCTTCTGGGACACATATACACACCCTACATACACAGTGATATGCACCATATGCTGTACAAAATATAGTCTCTACCATACAGTGATCTTCTCTGCTTCTTTATAGCCCAGAACTATGGATCATACATTAATTATAATTACATGAGTTATTTTCATTATTACCTACTCTTTAATAGACATCTAAAATCTTTCTAAAAAACAAAAGTAGTACAAACCTGAAAGCGATGGAGGGAGGGTGTGC